TAACGTAACAACAAGGACTATAAATACTGTTGCACAAAGTTTCCCTTTCATTAATGCATGATGATACAGCCATAAGATCAGTATGTAAAACAGGCAGAGTAGAGTTCAAGCAGCACAGACAGAGCAGGTCAAGATTACCTGAGGAGGAAAGACTTTTACCTGAGGTCTGACTGGAGCTGGGCTGAATAACTATTACATGGTCTTGTGCTGGAAAACACAAATCCAGATTTATTTTTTTTAAAAATCGCTACTGGAAAAAGGGAAATCTCACACCATCTTGCTTGCAAAACAGCCTTATTGAGGTTTTTGTTGCAAATGTTTCATGATTCAAAACACAAAATTATTCTTTGATTAGAGCAAAAACGATCATTGATTTTGTGATTTAATGTTATAAAAGTAAGAAAGGTTTATGTCAATGATCATTTACATTAGAATTGTTCTATAAAACCCAACAAGTTTAAGATGAGGAATTCCATTTAGTTTTAAATTTAATTTACAAGGCTCAATTTAAAAACAGGGTGTTAGCAGCTGGAAGACAACCATCCTTTATGGCACAACATGTATCTAAATCACCAGAAACAAACAAGGCAGACCCCTTACCTGCTTCCTGTTCTCTGAGCTCTGCCTCTAAATCTTCAGGGTCCATGTAGGGAAAATCGTGGTCCTCAGATTTGCACTTCCCACAGCAAAAACAGCAGCAGCAGAAACAACAGCAGCAGCTGAAGATAGTGCAGCAGCAGAAAAGGGCCTGAAACAGAGGAATTTTAATTGTATTTAAGACTTTTAAGCAAAAGCCAAATACATTCTGCACCCATGTATCCTCTGGTTTGTTATTTTGCAATGCAATGCCAAACTTCACCTTGAACCAGCACTTTGACATGAGGAAATAATATTTGACACCCTCTTCGCCAAACTGCTCAGCCACAGAGAGGCCCATAGAGCCATATTCATCGTAGATTTTACGTTTGTTCTCATCGCTAAGGATGGAGTTGGCATTGTTGAGCTCCTTGAATTTCTCAGCAGCTTCTGGGCTATCTGGGTTCTTGTCAGGGTGATGCCTTAATGCCAATTTCCTGAAGAAAAAAAAACACAGAACAAGGATTAGAAATTAGATAGGGTGTAAATCAATCAATCATATAGTTAAATTTAACAAACCAACGTTGGTGGATCTACTACACATAAAATAGTCCAGGCTGGGCGTTCACCAGCTGACGGCTAAAGGATGGACCCAGAGTGACACCCTGAACCCTGTTGGGTTTGGTTTTGGTTGTCTCAGCAGTTTTGGCAGCATGAGGAAAACTGTACTTACACACAGCACTTTGGAGAAACAAAAACTGTTAGGACTTTTAGGAGCTTAAAAAAAAAAAAAAAAGAGGAATCCTAAAAATGACTTTTCAGCTAAAAGTATTGAAATAAGCCGGTTTTTAATCTCACTTTGAGTTATAACAGCAATTCCTGTACTCCTAACCGGCAAGCTTTGATTAGTTAACTGCATATTAAATCGAGCATCTGTTGGATTGACAAACATCCTACCAACCACCTCATTTGTGGGCAGATTGTTCATATTTACAACTCCTGAGTAATAAACCTACCTGTAGGCCCGTTTAATCTCGTCGGGGGATGCGCCTTTCTTCAAGCCCAGGACCATGTACAAGCTCTCTCCGGCCCTGGACATTTTCCTCGGTGGCATGTTTGAGTCCTCCATGGTTTAATGAACGCTGACTGTATGACAGGAACACCAACAAACATGACATTTACCAACAAACCTGAGCTGTAACTTCAAACCTCAGGTGAGGAAGTCAGCAAACAGAAACCGTTGTGCAATAACCGCTGAGAGTCCTGGCAGCACCTTGGTGCCCTCTAAACGAGGTCTAAACAACTCCCGAGGCATTTACACGCTGAAAACCGTTATTCTGACTGGGTGTTTTAGAGTTTCGTGTCACTTCATGCTAAACCATATGAGCTTGAACACATTTACACCGCTAACAGTTACAGGTAAGGGTAGCAGGGAGACGCGGAGAGCAAAATAAAGCTCGCTTACCGCCGGCGGAGTGATTAATGTCGCAGATTTGCGTCGAAACATAGAGTCCGACAAAAAAACAGTCTCACGAAAGCACTATTTCAAGAAGAGAAACTAGTTCGCAACTTTCTGACTGACCTTCCGAATGGCCCCGGAAGATTTGAGGCAGAAAGGAATTCTGGGTAAAAGAGGGGGGGGGGAGGGGGGGACTGCCGAGCCGTAAAGAGGGAGAGAGGGAGGATCTGCTGTGACATGTTAACTTCAAGCAGGTGTAAACATGCGCTCTAGATCCTGCTCGATTTTTCCAACAGGTAATTATAGTGAGCGCTTTATATTTAGTAGGTACCACTGATTTCCAGGATCTGTGTCAAATGTACGCCTGGACAAAGTGAACGCCTGGACAAAGTGATCGTACCCCTGGCTTTCAATCTAAATAACAATTATGGAAGTGTGGCATACTTGTATTCAGCTGATGTCCATAAATAAAATTCAGTACAACCAATTGCCTTCAGAAGACACCTAAGCGAAGTAAAAATAAAGCTTCTTTGTGAAGACCTCAGAGGTTTGTTAAAGCAAACAGCATCATGGAGACCAAGGAACACACCGCACAGATCAGGAATATCATTCAACATCTCATGGATCATTATTCAGCCATGTGAAAATGGAACGTGTGATGTTCTGCACTCCTTCAAACAACTAGCATTCACTGACTGACAGACCATGCAATGCGAGTAGTAACAAGCAGGAAAGAGGCTCTTGGTAACTCTGGAGGAGCTGCAGAGATCCACCACTCAGTTTGCTTCACAACTGCTTTCATGAAAGAGTGATACAAAGACGTCCATGTCTAAAGAAAGCAATAAGACGTCCGACAGACATCATTAGACCTGGTCTACCAGGTCAGAAGAACACTTGATTTTTCCAGGGGCTATTTTCCAAATAGCCCCTGGAAAAAGTCTTTGTTTTGCAGTCACACAAACGATAAAATATATTTTTTCCTAAGTCATGGCAGTGCTGCTGAGCCTGGAGGAGGAAAAAAAAGTTTCCTTGTTCTGCTGATGCAGTAACAACAGAGCTCAGCTGCTTCCTCTATAGAGGGATTTTATCAAGGGGGACTCAATAATAAGGAAGAAGATATATGTATGTTTTTTAATCCATGTTTCAAAAAAGGATGTTTAACAAGTTAAAAAATAAAAGGTAAAAGTATAGTGAGCGAATGAATGGATGGCTGGATAGATAAGTTATTAACATAAATTTAATGAATAAAAAACCTTGTCGATTTCATTTAAAATATTACTATAAAGTTTGATTTCTAGACAAAATTTATTATAACAAAACAGGGGTGCATTGCAAAGACATGTTCACTCTGAACAATACCAGGTGCAGAAGTTAAACTGGTGGGGGACAGATAAATCATAGTTTGGGGATCTATTGTGTTCTAATGTTATGTGAGATCTCTGCATAAATAAAATAAAGAAATAATGGGATTTTAGTATTTAATCATTGCATCAAGATTTAAGAAAATCAGCTTTAATAATTTAATTATTTTTAAAAACGTAAGAAATTAGGGACATGGAGGAATGGAACACTTTGATTAGACCAGAAGATTTACAACGGTCATTTATTTAAATGAGTGAACCCAGTTTTTCTAAGTTTAAAAGCAACTTTTGTCCAAATGAATGAGCATGTAGCCCCACCAAACACGGTGGCGCAGTTGGTAGCACTGTTTCCTTGCAGCAAGGAGGTTCTGGGTTCAATTCCCGGACTGGGGTCTTTCTGCGTGGAGTTTGCATGTTCTCACCGGGTACTCTAGCTTCATTCCACAGTCCAAAGACATGCCTGTTAGGTTAATTGGTAACTCTAACTTGCCCATAGGTGTATGAATGTGTGTGGTTGTTTGTGTGTTGCCCTGCGATGGACTGGCGACCTGTCCAGGGTGTACCCTGCCTCCTGCCCATAGACTGCTGGAGATAGGCACCAGCTCCCCCGTGACCCACTATGGAACAAGCGGTACAAAATGTTGTCATCATCTAGTTTACCGAAGTATGTTTTTATCAATCCTAAACCCTAAGCTTTACTTAGTCCTTCACTTGAACTGTTAAAAAACAAAGGCAAAAAAAATCAAATAAAAGGCTTGTCCACGTGTTTTTATTAAATTCTCAATACCCTGGTCAGATGAGACCAAAACTGAACAGTTTGGCCAACAAGCAAAATGCTAAGTGTGCTGGAAAACACCACACCACCCTGAACACACCAAGGGAAAAGGGAAACCAGGCAGTGGCAGCATTATGCCGTGGGTTGCTTTTCTTTAGCTTGAGGCTGCTCGGGGCTGATGGGCAGATGACTGGTGCAACATGCAGGAAGATCGTTTAAGAAAACCCATTACAGGGGCAGAGATTCACCTTCCAAGAGCACAACAACACTGCCACACCTATAAGGAAAGAATTTATATCAAAGCATATGCATCTTTTCGAATGGCCCAGTCAAATTCTAGACCTAAATCCAATTGAGAATCTCTGGCACAGATTAGAAAATTGATGTTCACAGATTCTCTCCATCCAATCTGACCGAGCTTGAGCTGTTTTGATAAGATAGAAATTGCAAGAATTTCCTTTTCTAGATAAGTTAAGACTGCCCCGAAGACTTGCAATAAAATGTGGTCCAACAAAGACGGGCTGAATAGATTGCACAACGCACATTTCATTTGTCTAACCATTTTGAAAACCACATATCATTTCCCTTCTACTGTTGGCCTATTACATAAAATCCAAATAAAATACAATGAAGTTTGAGTTTGTCATGTGACAAAACATTAAAAGGTTAGATGTGATCTGCTAGAGAGCAGAATTAATTCATAGATCCATTAATTACAGTAGTCATATTTATACAGTCATCAAGGAGCTGAAGCAGCAGAGCAGCCCCAGACCATCATACTACCATCACCATGCTTTACTGTCAGTATCATGTTCTTTTTTGGAAATGCTTTGCTAGTTTTACTCCAGATGTAACGGGAAGCACACATTCCAGACAGGTCCACTTTTGTTTCTTCAGCCCACAGAATATTTTCCCAAAGGTTTTGGGGATCATTAAGAAGATTCTTGTTAAATGTGAGATGGGCCTTTGTTCTCTTTTTGGTCAACAGTGGTTATAGCCTTAGAACTCCCACATGGATCCCATTTTTATGCCCTGTCTCTTTCTTATTGATGAATAATACACTGACCTTAACCGAAGCAAATGAGACCTACAGTGCTTTAAATGTTGTTTTGGGTTCTTCTGTTACCTCTCGGAGAGTTGTCAGGGCGCTCTTGGAGTAATTTTGGTAGGTTGGCCACTCTTGGCACTGTTTCATGTTTTCTTCATTTAATGGCTCCCACTGTGGTTCAGTGGTGTCCCAAAGACTTAGAAATGCCTTTGTAACCCTTTACAGACTTGAGTCAGTGACTTTATTTCTCATCTCTTCTTGAATTTGTGTGGAACGGGGGATGATTTTTCACTTTTTCAGAACCTGTGGCCTACTTCACGTTGAAAGACGGGTTCTAGCTAAGTGATCTCTTTATTCTACAGGTCTGGCACTAATTAGCCCTAAGTGTGTATACTTATGAAGATTAACCACAGTTAATTCATGATATAAAAGGATGGGGAATTATGTATCTGGCTAGGTTAGGTTACTTGGCATTGTCTTTTTTTCAATGAAATCATAATTTGAAAGCAGGTTCTTGTATTTAATCACGTTATCTTTGTCTTTTATGTTGATGCAGATTATTCTGAGTTCATAAAAACATCCCTGTACCTCAGTAGTGAATCTCCTCCTTTGAAAGTGCTGTTATTTCCAGTCATGTAACTGAGCTGTTGCCTATTCGTTTGTTGCATTATGCACCTCCGTCTGTTCCTTTTGATTACTGTTATCATTTGTTGTTGTTGCTGAAACCGAGACCCACCCTGTTGCTGTTTTTAGATTCAAACTGAGCCGACACATTTCTTGTCTGCTGTTTTTATAAACCAGACAAGGCTGTATGAGATTTACAAATAATTTGATTGTTTTTTTTTTTTTTTTTGATGAATCACACAAATGTTATTGAATTAAGTTTAAATAGGCAATGGGGAGTATATTAGTTCTGCCTTTTCCATTTACTCTTCATTTTTTTAATATGAATTTGTGTAATTTTTATTCCGTGTGCATATCAGCTGCAGCCGAATTTTATCTTTAGCAAACTAATATTAAACAGTAAGTTTTGGGTAATCCTCCTTTGCAGAATAAATGGCACAACAGAAAATCATACTCAGGCCAATTTTATTATTGAATGAACCACACGTAAAAAAACACAAATTTTACTGTATAATTTCTTAGCTAAATAAACATTTTAACGATACTGCATACCCATGATCATTTGAGAAGGTATTAATCAATGAGTTTCCTCACTTTGTGGAGTCACAGTAATAACAATCTTGCCTATGTTTCTGTTTGCTTCCATGTGTCTGTGAGCCTCTGCAATTTCCCCTAGCTTAAAGGTGCTGTCGATCACTGGCCTCAAGGTGGCAGGCTGGGCTGAAAAGCATGGCAACGCCCTGTCTGCAAAAGCTTTAACCAAGTCCGCCTTGTACTGTGAAGGAAACAAACGCATTAATATATATATAAAAAACTAAAATAAATCAGGCCCAGTCATAGACATTGAGGCAAGAACTGTATAAAGTGCAAGACAAGATGAGAAAGTAGGAAGGAACAGGAAGAAAAAAGTGCCACATTTGCACAATGGATGTGGTTGCAATGCATAGAGGGAAAAGAGCAGCGGATGAGAAGATGCCCAACACAAATTCTTACCTCAAGGCTGCGAGAGCGAAGGAGGCTGCAGAGTAGGTGGCCTCGCTTGGAGAGCAGCTTGCCCAGCAGATCTCCCTCCAGTGCCCTGCCTCCCATGGTGCCGTACAGCACCCATCTGCCATCCACGGCCAGGGAGTTCACATTTTTCTCCCAGTTACACCCACCAATGCAGTCAAGGATCACATTCACTCCTTTTCCTGTCAAATAACACTCTCTGTTTACTCATATGACACAAGATATGTTTTACAAAGTAGCTTTGGCCAAAGTAACTTTTAAACACAGGCAAAACAAATGGAGGTTCCATCAAAAGAAGTCAAGACTATTACAAATACAGCCCAAACCAATTAAAACAAGAAACAAATTATACTGAAAAAAGCTTTAAGAACCCTTTGCAGAGCTGCACATTTACCTCCTGTGAAGTCACAAACTCCCTGAACAAAGCTCTCCTCCTTGTAGTTGTATCCAGCAGCTGCGCCCAGCTTTTCGGCCACCTGCAACTTTTCTTGACTCCCTGCAGTCACAATGGGCACAGCGCCAAACAGACGGACCAGCTGAATGGCAGCCGTTCCGACACCACTGGCTCCGGCGTGAACTAACACCACTTCACCCTCCTTCACCTGCGCTGTGGTGGAAACAATAGATGGAATGTATGGCAACGAAAAATGTTCTCTTGTTTTTATCATAACTCTCTCAAAAGATAAAAGGTTAAATACAAGATGACATTCAAGCCTGTTGAAGTTTTCCTCATTTAGTCATGCTAAACCACAAACATAGTTGGCATTTTGAATAAGATTTTATGTGCGAGAACAACACAAAGAACATAAAAAGTAGAAGGAAAATTATACAAATAAAAATCTGAAAAGCATGGATTTGTTTTCAGCCCCCTTTTACTCTGATATCCCTAAATAAAATCAAGTGCAACCAATTGACTTCAGAAGACATGAATACACTAAAAGGAGTCCACCTGTGTGTAAAGGAATCTCAGTATAAATCCAGCTGTTCTGTGAAGGCCTCAGAGGTTTGTTACAGAACATTAGAGAACAAACAACATCATGAAGACCGAGGAACACAGCAGGCAGGTCAGGGAGAAAGTTGTGGAGAAGTTTAATCCAGAGTTAGGTTCTAAAATAATATTCCAAGCTTTGTACATCTCACAGAGCACTGTTCAGTCCATCATCTGAAACTAAAGAGTATGACACAACTGCAAACTTACATATGCATGGCCTTCCACATAAACTGACAGACTTGGCAAGGAGAGCCTTAATCAGAAAAGCAGCCAAATGGCCCTGGGGCAACTCTGGAGGAGCTGCAGAGATTGACAGGTAGGAGAATCTGTTGACAGGACAACTTTAGTCAATCACTCCACAAAGCTGGCCTTTATGAAAGAGTGCCAAGAAGAAAGCTATAATAAGTCCTGCTTGTTGTTTGTCTCAAGTTATATAGGGAAACACGTGTGTAAGGAGGTGCTCTGGTCAGCAATGTGTTTGGCAAAAAGCTAACACTGCACATCGCCCTCAACACACACCATCCTCAAAGTGGAGGTGTCTGCTTCATGCTGTAGGGATGGCTATCTTCAGCAGGGACAGGGTAGCAGGTCAGAGGTGATGGGAACATGCATGGAGCTAAATACAGGGAAATCCTGGAAGAAAACCTGTTGGAGGCTGCAAAAGATTTGAGACTGAGGTTTCACTTTCCAGCAGCAAAAATGACAGAAGCTTTACATCAAATCTGACTGACACTGACTTATGGAGCAAAGAAGATTTGGTCAAATCAGTGTGATAGAGACAATCCTCCAAAGGCTTGCAGCTGTAATGGTGGTCCTACAAAGCAATTACTCAGGGGGCTCAATTTAAATGCACACCACAGCTTTCAGGTTTTTATTTGTAAAACATATGGAATACTATGCATCATTTCCCTTCCCCTTCATAATTAGGCACCACTTTGTGTCAGTCACA